TTCTCAAGAAAGGTGACCCAACAGAATGTTGAAAATATAGAACAATATCATTAATGTAACATTTAAGTAAAATACTCCTGAAGATCCCTCAAAAATGGCTAGAACAGAACATAGATAGAGAATTGTGAGAAGGTCAAGCAGGAGTTAGAAGAAGACATGGCACCAGGGATATCATTGTTGGTGTCAGATGGATCCTGGATGAAAGTAAAGGATACTATAAGAATGTCTATTTTTGCTTTATTGACTATGTAAAGACATTTGACTGTGTGGATCATAACAAGTTATGGTTAATATTGAGAAGAATATGAATCCCAGAGCACTTAATTGTGCTAATATGAAACCTGTATCTAGACCAAGATGTCGTAGAGACAGAGCAAGGCAATTGTTGTTGTTGTTGTTCTGTCGAGTCATAGGCGACACATAGCGACCCTATGAATGAAAGTCCCCAACACTTGCGTGACTTTCATCCTTTCTCCAGGTTCATAGGGTTTCCAGAGACAAGCTATTACTGAAGTGGATGCCACTCCTGCTTCCAAGCTTGTTTTAATCTGGAAGCTCTGCCAAACACTGTCCACTACGGGTAATCATTAATGCGTTTCACACCTCAGTGTCACAGTGTTTAGCTTCACAGCGACCACAAGTTACCTCTGTACGGCAAGTGGATACACCAGGGCTATACGACTTAGAAGAATGTTTGAACAAAAACACCAAAAAACAGTTCTGAGGGCCACAGGTTAAAAGTCATCTATGGTTAAAATTTAAAAAGTGGTGTGTCAGGGCTCTATCATTTCTCCATTCCTATTCAATCTGTATGCTGAGCAAATTATTTGAGAAGCTGACTCTATGAAGAAGAATGTGGCATCAAAATCAAAGGAAAACTCATCAATAACTTGCGTTATGCAGATGACACCAATTAGTTTGCCGAAGATGAGAAAGACTTGAAGCACTTGTTACATAAAATCAAAGGATACAGCCTTTAATATGGGTTGCATATTAACATCAAGAAAAAAATTCTTACCACTAGACTGATAGGTGGAGAAGAGATTGATATTGTTAATGATTTTATCTCACTTGGATTCACAATCAACATCCTTGGTACCAGCAGCCAGATGATCAGGAGATAAATTGCACTGAGAAAGGCTACAGTTAGAGACCTCTTCAAATTATTGAGTCAAATGATATCAGTTTGAGAACTAAGATGCATCTGATTCAGGCCATACTCATTCCAATCATTTGCTTTGTTTCTGAGATCTGGAAAATGAATAAGGATGACAGAAAATTTGATGCCTTTGATCTGTGGTGTTGGAGAAGAGTCCCATGGACTGCCCCCAAAACAAATATGTCTTGGAGGAAGTGGAGCCAGAGTGTTCCTTGGAGGCAAAGCTCTGACTCACATACTTTGCTTTGGGCACACTATTAGAAGAGGTTATTCCTTGGAGAGGGACAGAATGCACACTTCCCTATCCCCTAGACCACCAGAGCTCCCTTTCCAAAGCTGATCATCTTAAAATAATATTTTATTATCACATAAATACAGCTGGACAATTCTTAGATGGATCTTTCATAAAGTTTCAGTTAAATAGTAACTATGTGAGACCCCCTCAACTTGACTGGATGTCTAAGATATATCCTTCCTTTATGTATCTGATTTCTTAATGCTCCTGTACAAGATCTCTGTCTCCTGCAGAATAGCTTGGACTTCTTATATGAATTGTAATGATGATAAATAATATTAAATGTATTATTAACTGCTAGAAGAAATAAACCTATCTTAAAAGAAGGATAACTAGATTGCTCGTTAGAGGTATGTATGGCAAGACTTGGTCTCATGTACTTCAGGACATATTATGAAGGACCAGTTCTTAGAGGACATACTACTTGGAAAAGTAGAGGGTTAGTGAGAGAGAGGAAGACCTTCAACTGGTTGGTGTGCCACAATGATTGTAACAAAACAACAAAACACTGAATGACAAAATGCCAAGTGACAAAATACCAAATGACAAGATTTTGCTCTGTTGAGTATAGGGTTGCTGGAAATCAAAACTGACTCAATAGCCCCTAACAATTGTCTATCTATCCTCATTAGGCTATAAGTTCCGTTGGAACAAAGATCTAGTCTATTTCACTTTATGGCTCTATTTCTAACACAGCAACAGACACAAACTAGGTTCTCAAAAGAACAAATTAATCACTTGATAAATGTTTGGAAACCTAAAATGGGACTGGACTCAATTTGTCCAGGTTGATTTTGTCAGGTTTGCTGTTGCAAATCTGGCTGAAGCCTCAACCAACTGCAGAAACACTGATCTTATATTTAATCTGCAAATAAGAAAAGCTTTCCCTGAGCACAAAATTTAGAAAGATTTGGCATGTATTAAAAATGGAAAATATTTCTTGTATCATTAGTAATTATCTTCCCACAGTTCTGAGTTTCTTCAAAATGTTGAACTGCCTGAAGACACTTCATTCTTTAATCTTGCATAAGCTAAAAAGCCCTATTTTCTCTTTTATGGAGATAAATTATCATATTCTTTTGTTTATTTACTTACTCAGTAGCAAAGAATGTATAACAGCCTTCTAATGTTTGAATTCCTTACAACATCCTCTATCTGAAAATATTATTATATATGAAAGTAGTATTTTTAAAAAGATAACTGTGGTTTTAGTCTAAAAGTTGTTTTTTCTTAGCCATTATGGTTAGCTGGCTCCGGCCTCACACTATCTTAACTATAGATATGTCGTCTTGCAGGTCAGCATGGTCTTACAACACATCAACAGCTGTGGGACTAGAATTAGATAAAGTCTGTTTTTCATATAGCAAGATCTGAGGCAAGAAACACTTGAAGTAAGACTTGACAAACAAGGTTTGTGATGATGAGAGTGAGACTCTTGTGAAAGTGAGACCCTGGTGGTGGAGACTGTGCCATTGCTGTGGACAAATGGTGGCAAGAGTAACCTGAAGCTTTTTACATTTGTTCTACTCACAGTTAAAGTTTGGTTGTTCTTGCTGGAGGCTTGAAGGAGAAGTTCAACTTAAAACTACTCTGAGGCAAACTTTGCTGGATGATTTGGATTTGACTGCTGAACTAAAACCAGAGTCTGGACTTATTGAGGAATTGTGCCTTGAAATTATTATTCTATAGCTTGGACTTGTATTGTGAGATATTCTTTGCCTCTCCCACTTACTTCCCCTAACACACCCCATTCTTGGTACCACAACTTTGAGTCAGCAATAAATAAAAGAACCTCTTACTGCTGGTGGGGCCCATAGAGGCACCACGAGGCTGGGCTTTGAGCTCTTTATCTGCTTTCCATGCTGCGTTGGTGAGAGCCTATACTATTCTCATTCCCTCTGGCCTTTTCAGAGCGATGCTTATGTCCCTGTGACCCATTTTCCTGTTTTCTCCACTTTAGACAATAACTTCTAAGAAATTACATAAATATTTTTTACATTTATTATTGGTTTCCTTATATTAATATACTTGTGTTTCATTCAAGTACATTTTATTTTATATAATCATTCATTGTATTTCATTCAATTCATTTTTGTTGTTGTTATATGCTGTCGAGTTGCCTGTGACTCATAGCAAGTCTATGTACAACAGTCCTAAATCATGCTCTGTCCTGTGCCAATCTCACTGTCTCTAACACATCTACCCCCATAATCCCAGTCACTAAATCAATCCACCTCATAGAGGGTCTTCCTCTCCTGCACTGTCCCTCCACCCTTCCAAGCATGAAATCCTTCTCCAAGGACTGAACCCTCTTTGCAACATGTCCAAAGTATGTCAGACAAAACTTCAGAATTCTTACCTCCAAGGAGCAGCATGGTTTAACCTTCTCCTGGGTGAACCTGTTCATTTTCTTAGCAGTCCATGATACATTCAATAATCTTCTCCAGCACCACAGCTCAAAGGCATCAATTCTCTTTCTATCATCCCTAGTCATTGTCCAGCTCTCTGACGCATAACAAGTGATTAGAAAGACCATGGTCTGCATCAGGTACACCTTAGTCTTCAACACCATTGCTCTTCAATACTTTGAAGAGGTCTCTAACAGCACACTTTCCTATCGCAATACATCTTTTAATTTCCTGGCTGCTGGTGCCAAGAGTGTTGACTGTGGAACCAAGCAAACTGAGCTGTGAACAATCTCAATCTCTTTACCATCTATCATGATGCTGCCAATTGGCCCAGTGGTTAGAATATTTGCTTTCTTGATGCTGAGCTTCAATCCATATTGAAGGCTGCAGTCTTTTACCTTCTGCAGTAAGTGTTTCAGGTCCTCCTCAGTTTCAGCAAGCAGGGTTGTCTATATAATTAATTACTATTGATCTATGTCTCTCATCATCCTCTCTCTTCAAGTCCCCATTGAATCTTTTCTATTCCTTACCCCTCACATTTATCCACTAACCTCTACTATCCCAGTGATTTTCCCCCTCCACTTTTTTCTCTCCCCCTACTTTTTTCTCCCCTTTCCCTTTTGAATATTTATACATATTGTGCTCAGTTATCCTCCTATTTTCACAACAACAGTCTTAGGCAATATTTGTCCTTTTGTAACTGAGCTATTTCACTCAGTATAATGCTCTCTAGACTCTCCCATGTTGTGTCACAAAAAATTTGATCATCAAAATGTACAATTTTTTGCTATAAATTCAGTACTTATTTATGCAATTATGGACAATCTCCTCCTGTGCGATTTACTGCTTTGAAAACCCGGGTGACTGTGGGTCAGTTCCAAATTGATAATATATAACAACACAATTCCAAGGACAAGAAAAGAAATTTCCTCAAATTTCTGCTTTATGAGTTCAAACTGATGCATTCTATAATTTCTTTAAAAATCCTATTCCTTGTAAAGTTGTGAGAATGTATTCATCTGAAGGATTTTAGTATTTTAGAAGTTTAGAAATAAAGGAAGGATATAATTTTTAAAATTAAACTTGTAGACTGCCAGCAATGATGTGTCTTCTAATCTGAGTTTTGTTTTCTGTTCAGTTTTTCCAGATTTGCTCAAAGCGATCCCAGTGAGCATCCATGTCAATGTCATTCTCTTTGCTACAATTCTTGTTCTTTTAACCATGGTGGGGACAGCCTTCTTCATGTATAATGCATTTGGAAAGCCCTTTGAGACATTGCATGGTCCACTCGGGCTGTATCTATTGAGCTTCATTTCAGGTAAGTACAAAATTCCCCTTCTGAAAACAAATATGATTTTCAACATATCAAAAGATAGGTTCATCTAGATAAAAAAGTCCATATATGTACATTACTACATATATGTTGTTGTTTTTGTGTATCATTGAGTCAGAACCAATCCATAGCTTACTCTCCAGAGGGTTTTCAGAAGCAGTTAATAGCACAAGAAGAAATTGCCCATCCTTCTCCTTCAGAACAGCTAGTGGATTTGAATGGCATAGCTTTATTACATATATACATACATGTATGCAAAAATTGCATATATGCACATA